AAAAGTCACAAACTGCAGCTTTAATTGTGCAATGCTTGGCCTAAAACCATCTTAGTGCTGCCCTCCTCAGGTTGAACGGTGCAACTGCAGTTGTTTTTTTTCTAACGTTTACAACTCTACAGCTTCGTTAGTGTCTAAATCAAAGTCCTATGTTTGGGTGTGAAAAAATAATCTCACAACCATGACAGAAAAACCAAAACCAGTTAATTCAACATCAGAAACTTACATAGTAATTAGAGATCAGGGCATCTGTGTAGTCCTGTGAGAAAATAAAAAACATATTATTGTACAGAGAAAAACAAGTAATGCACTGCACTTCAAAATAAAAAAAAAAAGTCCACTAAACTACACAAACACATGTGCATAAAGATATTGACATACAAAAGCAAAGACATAAAATTCAGATACTTCAAGAAATTTATGAAAAAAAAGGATTACATCTGGAATGAATTTAAGCATAGAGGGATTGCTTAAGAAGAAATAAAATATTTTTTATATACAGGGTTGTATTTGTCTCTGAAACTGAGTCTAAAAATGGCTCAAAATGAACTAAATAAATGTAGAGATCATATTTTCTTTACTCTTTTTGTGACACTGATGTGACCTGAATGTTTTTTTTGTCTAATCATTATAACTATTTCATGTGTATGCAATGTATTGTATGAGTTAATGTCATAAAATGAATAAATAAAAAAAGAATTAAGAGGTAAAAATCAAAACAAACATTAAAGATTTTATCTCTTAACATTTAGAACCAAACCAGATAAAATCTTCAGCTTCACAAACAGAATCTGCATAAAAACTTTGCTCCCATTTCCTGTTGGAGGTCTGTAGAAATAGTTGATGCTCGGACAGAAACCGTTTGCATCTCTGGATGTTCCTTGAGTTAAGGTTCTGTTTCAGTATGAATATTTAATTTCACATTCAGCGTCACAGCCCAACAATCGGTGCAGACAATGATTAAATTCATTCAAGAAACATGAAGTTCTCTCAGCCGCCGAGGAACAAGTTGCTCACATCCTCGTCATGAAGGCCGGAGAAAAGAAACAAACTGGAAGAAAATGTTCGGCTGGGCTGAAGGACTCAGTGAAACAGTTATTAAAACTCATGCTCAAATAATTAGTTTTAATAAAAAAATAATAAGTTTTTTCTGTTTTAATTTGAATTCCTGCCCCTTCACATAAATTAGTATTCCACCTGCAGAAGAGTGAGGGATTGAAGACGGAAGAAACATTTAAAGCAACAGAAATAAAGAGCGAGCCGGGTCTGTCGGATCGAGACGAAACATTTTTTATTTCTAAATCATATAATTTCGCCAAATTGGAGTTTAAGTACAGATATTCAATAGATCTGGAAGAAATGTATACAAAGATGAGGACCGGAATGAAGAACCAGAAAACCCAGAGAATGGAAAAATGAGGATGGAGGGATGAAGAAAGGACGAATGGGAGGAAAGATATACGATTAGATGATCTCTGGTGGTTTTTAAACGATCAGAATAAACAAAAGTACAGGAAGAAGAAAAAGAAATAAAGTAACCAAAACAGATGATATTAAAGAAAACACACTTTATAATGTGTATTGCATTAAATACGCAGTAATGATCGACTCTTGCTTGAAATATAATTAATTTTGGGGTTTAATCATACTGAACTGCAACAGCAGGGATGATTCACCTGATCAGGATGTTAGTAACTGAAATATTTGGGTCATTAATCAGAGAGAGGTTAATCCAGAACCTGGACTATGATCAAAACCACAAATCTTAGGTAAAATATGTACAAATGTGGTTATTACTGCCTCGACCTGACTGTGACCTTTTGACCCCACAGTAAATACTAAACAAGACCATTTGGTAGCGCAGACAAAACATTACAGAAGTAAAGTTTCATGTCATTCTACCTAAAGGTCACCTGAATGTGTCTCGGCGTATGAAAACAACAAGCCAATGTTCCTGGTCTGTTTTTTTTCTTTTTTTCAGGCTGAAACACTTTTCTAATTATGGACAAACAAGCTACTTCACCACCTGAGGTTAAAACACGTCACAATCTTCAGAAACAGAACAAAAGGAGACATTTTCGACCCACTTTAAAGGAGCTTGTTGCATTCAGATCAGTCTGTGTTTGTGTACCAAACAAAAACTCAATTTATATTCTGAAGGAGTTCAACAGAAAAACGTATTAAAACTTTAAAATGACGACGTCATGAAACTTTGTTCTGTTATGACCCTTTTTTAAAGATGTAATTTCGTGAAATATTTGAATATTTGAACAAATATTCAAATGAAAAATAAATTAGAATTTTGCTTAAAAATTGTTTTACACAAAAGTTGTGTAAAAAACATTTTTTGTACAAAAATGTGTGAAAATCTTTTACACAATTTTTTGTGTAATTTTTTAAATGTTTTTACACAGTTTGTGTATTTTTTACATAATTTTTTGTGTGTAAAAAATTATTTTTGTTACACAAAATTAAAATATGTTTTCAATTGAAATTATTTTCCATTGAAATTATTTTTCAAATGGAACTTGATGTTTTACTCCTAACCTCTAGGGGGAGCTAACGGAAAATTATTAGCACAAAGTAGAGGACTCAAGACTGAATTGTTTTAAACCACCAAGGTTTTACTTTCAGTTCAAAATGTTTCAGTTTATCCAAAACATGTCAGTTTTATAAAACTGACATGTTTTGGATAAAGTTTGGATAAAGTTCAAAATTGTTCCCATTAATTGAATTTATTTCCATGATTTCAATTCCATCTTCTTGTGAATGAACAGCTAGTGACGGACTGATGCATCCTAGGCGCACAGAGGAGCGTTCTAGCACATCCTTCCTCCTCCATTTATATTTTTTCTTCACCTGAATTATCCCACTTTGAGAAAATAAAAGATATTCCTATTCTAACTGTGTCTGTAGAGTCGGAGATGACGCTTCTGGAGCATTGCAGGGTCAGACGCTGGGTGAATTTGTTGAACATGAACTCCTGGGAAGACTGGCAGCTGTCTCAACTGTTTTCCATTTGTGACCGATTTGTCCCATTGTAGATTGATGGACTTCAAATTGTTTGGAAAAGATGATTGATGGGCAGAACGGTTTGTTTTCTGAGGTTGGGATGCTGAAGCTGATGGCAGTGTGTCCTCAGCTAACTCCTGCTGTTTTTAGAGCATTAACCAATTAATCAAATCACATAAGTGAAATGAATTTCCATTCTGACAGTTAATTTTAAATGGGAATTTTGATTAAAGATGCATCAAAATCTTTTTTTCTTAATGGTTTCAGTTGTGTGGTTTTTATTCCCATTTTAAATTTGGTTTGTTGTCTTTTATTTTGGATGTTTGCTATAACTTTCCGTTGCAGGGTTAACTGTTCTTTAAAAAGTTAAAATTTATTCATCTTTAAGTGAATGAAGTTGCATTTTTTGTGTCAATATATTACGTGAAAATGGTCTCAAAACAACATTATTAAGTACTGATGCTAGATAAAAGATAAGAGAAACAAAAATCACACCAAAAATTTGTGTCTTCAAAATAAAAAGTGTCAATAAATAACAGGGTTTTTTTATTCTTTCATTTGGAATTCAACTGCTTCTAAAAACAGCTGAAGTGCTTAAAAAAAGACAAAGCAGTTTTTTTGAGACTAAATTAATGTTTTGTGTTGCCTGGAGTCAATCTTCGGGCACTGCGCCGTTACCTAGCAACCCCAGCCAAGCCCAGCCCGTTACATAGCAACCCAAGAAGAGCTCTAGCAGGGTTTTACCACTGTAATCGCTGTACAATGGCTGCTGGAGAAGATAAATGTTTTGTTGTTGGCTTGTTGGTTGTGCAGGAGGCTCCACTTATATTTTTCAAAGATGTACAGTTGTGTAATTGCAGCTATTTTCATGTGCAAGGTAAAATGCTGAGTTAGTGGGCGTGGCCAGCAGCAGCTTATTTGGATTTAAAGTGACAAAACGCCCTAAAACTGCTCAGAATAGGAAGATAAATCTCATTTTGTGCAAAAAAACTTCATAAGAATGTTTTGTAAAGCCATATGAATATCCTGAGCTGTTCGAGGAAGCATAATAAAATCTTGATGTTCAATATGCATTCAATAATTGGCTCAAAAACATAAAAAGTGTCCAGACAGATTTGGTTTTGTGAACAGCGGTTTAGTCGCCCGCTGCATCAGTTTTCCTCTCACGCTCCCGCGTCGCCAGGCGTCGTTGTAATGAGCTCATTTGTCATTTATTTTGTGTCCTTTCTGACATTTACCAGGTTGGCCTCTCAGGTCCAAGCCTCTCCTTTGGTAAATAATTGATGGTGATCAGCGGCACACTGGGTAAGCAAAGCGCTGATGGACGTTTGAGCAGCTGGCACAACACGACGGTTTGCTCTGACCTGGCATACAAACACACGCACGCACACACACACACACACACACACACACACACACACACACACACACACACACACGCACACTTATATACGGAGCTATGAGTCACCCTGGCTGGTTCGACAATCCCTCCTCCTCTTCGTGCCTCTTCCTCCCTCCCAGGAAATAGTTTCCAACATTAATGAAGGTGTTGGAGGTTTTCAACTGTTTCTCCAAGGAAAAAAAATCAAACTTCCTCCTTTTGTGTCAATATTTGTAACAGCTTTTTGGACAGTTTGTGTCAACCTGCAGAATAATTTTAATCCCTAAGGGTCACTTTTGTAATGTGCATCACTGAGTGGTTACGATAAAAACATCTCACTGGTCATATGTTGAACAAAAAGTTTTACAAACTGAAAGGTTTTTTTCTTTTTATGAAAACAGAACAAAAAAAAGTTCAAATATTTGGCCCTTGTGCAAACCCGCCCCCCCAAAAAAAAAAAAACAAAGACAAGCAGATACATAAAACACCTCTGCTGTAAAGACACAGGATTAAAACTTCACATTATGTAACTCTGGCTTAGTTTCTTTCTAACATATTTTATGCAGTTAATTATTAACTTCAAGGGAACAAAATTACATTTGATTGCAAGTATATTAAAGAAATACACACATGCCTTGCCATAAGTACATTATGATATGACCAATGGGACTGCCGTATTTCCCTGCTGCCACAGTATCACAGAAAATCCAAAATCACTCCACATATTGGTGATTAAAACAAGTAAATTCGTCTCTAGCGTCCTGCCTGAAGGCCTCTTGCATTTGTTTGGTGTGGAGTGCTTTAGAAAGTAGATTAATCCACTCATTTTCTGCTGTGGGACTTAATTAAAACCAATAATGTGTTCATCCTTTTCTGAATGAGGTGGGCGACTAATGTTTAGCTTATTTGGCTGCTAGTACCTTTATGTGCTTTATCTCTATAAGATCAGGCTAACAGTATTCAAGTATTCTTCTTGAGCTTAAATTTACTTAATAGTTCAGATCTGCATTTGCTCACCCTCTTAAGTTTGGTAATGTTCTCCTCCACTGTTAGTCCGTTCAGGGCTCCGGAAATACAGAGGAAAGTTCCCAGGAAGCACGGAGCAAAACACAGCTGAGAACCCAAACAGATAAAAAAACAAACAAACAAAGAAGAACGGAATCAGAAGGAATCAGTGGTGCTTCTGCTAACGCTAAAGATAACGCTAACGCTAAAGCACTAATCACAAACATTAGCTCTGGCATAATTTACATGTTCTATTTTATTTCTGTTTATATCTACTGTTAATGTATTATTTTATTATTTTATGTTCCTTATTTGAAATAAAGTTATTGAAAAAAAGGAAAAAACATCAGGAGAGGAAATGGAACTGCTGCGTAAACAGTACATCCACTTCAAAATAAGAGCATGAATGTAAACAGCAAACTATATGGAAGAAATTTTACACCTAAAACTTCAATATAGATGTCAAACCTTACTCAACTAAACATTTACAAAACAGCCAAGTAAATTGACACATTAGAATTTATCTAAAAAAGTTTATAAGCCAAGTTAAGCAAAAATGCCAAGAAAAACATTAGCTCTGCTAATTGCACATTAGCAAGTTAACGGATATTTTCCCTCCACTGAAAGAAATCTTGGGTACTGAAGTGACTTTTGACTATAACAGTAATTACAGACAGAATAAACTTAATAGGCTGTACATAATTTACAGTCAACGCTAATCGCTGTTTTCTCTCACCTGGTCAACAAGCATTTTCTTCATGGCATCAGATTTAGAGGCTCCAACCACGATCCTGTCCAAAACTTTGTACCAGCTGCCGATTACCGGACCCTTTAATGTGGAAAGGAAACAAATTATCCTCAAACTTGAATGCAGATGTACAAAAAAAACCTGAACAAAAATTAATCTTTTATATGGCAGTAAAATTATTTCACAGATTTATTTGGAAAATTCTAACACATTTTGTGGCATTTCTTGCAATTCCTGTAAAACAAATATATAGTCAGTTCTGTGAAAAAAGCTTTTACCAACTTAGTAGTTTCTTTGAATTAATTCTAAAAACAGACAAAAAAAAAGAGTAAAAGTAAACTTCAGTTTGGAAAAAAGACAGAATTTTTAAAAAAGAGGAAAAACACCAACCTGGCTAAAAAATTATTAAATATCAACCAACTGCTACATTTCATGAAAGATAAATATATATATTTTATTACTGCCAGACATATTTAACAAAACAATCACTTAAATAGAACTTGTCTTACAATGTTTTGTCCTCAGTTTGTTGCTCAAAAACAAAATGGAGGTTTTGAAGAGACCTAGTCAAAGTCTGAACTGAAATTTGATTGACAAACTGCGCATGCTAGAAAACTCTACAGTACGATTAAATTTAAACAATTCTGAAAACAAGAGGCTAAAAAATTCTCTACTGATCTAAAAGATGAACAATTACAATAAGTTGTTTACTTTTCCATAAATATTTCCACTGATTTGCACAGATCTTAATCGAAAGGCTTGAATTTAAAAAAAAAATCTTTGATGTTACTGCAGCAAATTATGAATTTGTTTTAAACCCTAGAATTATGGAGTGTAATTTTAGACCCAACAGAGGAAAAATATAAACTGAAAAATATCTCTAAACCTCATCACATTTAAATCTCAGCATTTTCTGCATATATTTTTAGATCAAGAGTTCGATAAATTCTGGATTTAAGACGATTACTGCAGCACAAATAAAAGCTTTCGTCACAAAGACGTAAGAATCAAATGTGAAGCTTTTAAAGGTAAACCGTACAGCTGTCACCAGGCTCTACTGGATGAACTATTAGAGTCTGACAGAGAAGAAATTACTTTTGTTGAATGTAAACGTTAATAAAAGAGTCCCATCAAACGATCATAAATGACACAATAGATAAATAAGAACCACTTTTACCACAAAGAAGAATCCTATACTCATCATCCGGGCTGTTCGTCCCACATTGTGATGAGCTAATCCTCTCCTCTCAATCAGCTGTTGGGAGATGACATCACCCACACCCACTAGAGACCCTGAAGGACAAAAAAGCTGTCAGGACACGCTGCATGGTGTTATATGAATGTGATCCCTGCAGATTCGTTTCGTAGCTGCAGAGACGTTTTCAGTACGAAGCTTTTGTTAAATAGGAGCAGGATGAATGCAGCTCATTTATTTTGTTGAATTATGGCAGAATGCAGGCGGTGATGCTCAGTATTTAGCTCTAAAATGGCAGGGAGCTATCGCAGGAAGAATGCATTTCCAAATCTGTCTGATTCTTAATGTTCTGGCATTTAAAAAGTGTGTTTTAAATGTTGTCTCGGCTGCCTGAATATTAACAAAGATGTCCAACAAAGTAATAATAGGACATGTTTGGTACTCCAGGTTATCAAGTCAAATTTAAGACTTTTTAAGACCTTTTTTACATGTGATTATTTGCTTATTGCAACATGCTTTGGCATGCACACCTCCAAATTGTACAAAAAGGCTGATTGCTGAGATTAAGAAAAGTTGTGATTTTTTAAATTGCACTTCAAAACCAAAATGAATTCAAAGAGATTTAGGCAATCAGTCACCTAAACTACTGTACAAATGGTTAAATAAAGCTTATGGTGTTTTCTCCTCAACAGCATGGCTGAAACTGATAATTATTTTACACTAATTTAGATTTTCTCATGTTGACATTCAGTAAATACAGGTTTTTCAGGCAATCAGTGTTTTATTTATCAAACCTACAGGACATATCAGGGGTTAATGAAGGCTAGAGGAAACCTTCACACCTGGATCAGAGAAGCAAACAACCCCTGACCTTCCTGTTATCACGTGACAGCTCTACTTCCTGGAACAAATTTATTCCAGATGTTTGCTCAATTTTCCACCATGCTGCTGGAACATTACAGAGAAAACCCTGTCTGAATTCATATTTAATCACAAAGTTACAGAAAAAATAAGCTAGAGAACGCTGCATAGAATAATATGACTGAAGCTGTAATGTAGCAAAAATATGCTTATCGTTTAAAATTGGGACGTGATTTATCCAGTTTGACTCATTATTAAGAACAAATGTCCTTCATTTGTTTACAACCTAGAGCCAATGAAATAAAATAAACATCAAAATTAAATAAAGGTGTAAAATTTATCAAGGCATAAATACAGATATGAATATTCTATTGATACTTGAATTGGATGTTTTCTTATCTTTCCTGTTTTTAAGAGAAATTGGTTTTTGCATCATCTTATATTTGTATGCAACTCTATCAAGATAAAAATACAAAATATTAAATAAAATCTTGGATTTCTATTTATTTTACACAAATTTAAAATAATAATTTCTTACAGTGGGATTTTGTTTCACAACTGAATAAATACTCTTAATTTAAAGAGTAGATTTTTCAAATTGTTTTATTGTTGCTGCAGTTAAAGATGAACTTACTTTAAAGATTTTGAACACCAATACATTCTAAGAGATGCTGCTTGCATGAAATAAAGTAGATCAAATTGAATTAAAGTAAACTAAATATCTGAATTAAGTAGGTATCAAATTTATTTATTTAAAAATAAAGTTGCTAAAAAAAAGATATTTTTATTTTTTGGGTTGCACAACCAGTAGTGAACAATGTAGTCGAATAAACATGGCTAGAGACAAGAAAAGGTAATAAATCCAGCTTCACTTTAAATCTGTTTTATATTTAATAAATATATATTTGAAAAATTATATGTTCTGCCGTTGAATTGAAAATGTATTTATAGCAGTAGTAAAAGCCTAAAGACGGCAGCATGAGGGCAGCTGCTGCAGTCGATGCACTAGAGATGAATCTAATAGCAGCTGAAAAAAGGTAACCTTTACTTTAGCAGGTTTCCTCATAGAGGAGCTAATAAAACGGTTTAAATGTGGTCAAATGTCAACGCTCAACTCACACTTTCAAAAAACAAAACACAAAAAATTATTTATTCTTTTATGTTAAACTGTGAAACCATAGCTAGTTTTTCATTTTTACTTTTATTGTACATATCAGCTGCTTTGGAAATATATTCAGACTCCATCAGCTTGTTTTAAATATATTTTACTGCAAAATCTGATGTATTTTGTTTTTTGTTCATTAAAAATGCACACTATAGTTTTGAGGATTTTAATTTAAAAACAACAAATCATTTTCCTTCCACTCCCAAAATATGCACCAAGAATACAAAGATCTAAAGGGCAGTGGCAAGAGCAAGTGAGGTGGATTAGCAGAGCTAGCCAACAACTGATTATGTCATCCAGGACATGTTAATGTGAAACGTTGTCTCTGTCAGGAGTGCTACAGCAAAGGTCTTCAGTCAGAGGCTACTACAAATTAGTTGCAAGGCTGACTGCTACTGGAGATCCTTCCTGCCCACACTATAACCAGTAAACAGTTATTTTAAGATACTTTTATTTTACCTTTGGGATAGATAATGTTTTTTTAATCATTATTATTGAATTTGTTACATCTAATAAAATACTATTTACATTTATGTAAATAGTATTTACATAAATGTAAATTTACATAAATGTAAATTTATGTAAATAGCTTAAAACATTTATTAAAGTTTTAAGCTACATAAAAAAACTTTGAGGTGACAAAATGTGTAGCATATATGTCACCTTCCAGGGCCCCATTAACATGCAAATATTTTTTCATTTAACAAACCTTTACAGAAAATATTGTATTTTATGTCCTGCACCAGCCCGATTTTATTTATTTACAACCACAACCACATACATACTGAATTTCTGAATGAAATTGTCTTGAAGACAACGACTCTTTAATTTGAATTAAGGCAGCATTTTTTTCACTTTTTGCAAGAAAAGCCTGATGTTCTCCTGATGGATGCAACCTGACAAGCATCTGCTGCCATCTAGTGGCGATAGACGTGAATTACTTTGCAATTTAGTTCAATCGTTACAAAAAAGGTCAAATATAAAACTTGAAATTGATGCAATAAATACAAGTATTTGAAATAATTTAAAATGTTAAAATAATATTTTTAATATTTTAAAACATGTTTTAATATTTTATATAAAAAGCAGTAATAATTAGACATTAGCTATTTTTTTTGTTATTCTTTATTTTATTTAATTAATGTTGCTGACTTTAATTTATTTCCATCAAAACGAGTTGGATCCAACAGAAAATTTAGTTGCTGGGCAGGTTAACCAATCAATAACACCAATTTTAAATAATTTTATGACGACTATGGGATTCAATATATCATAGAATTTACAAAACACACTGAATTAAAATGTTTATTTTTATTAATTTAAATTATAATATGTATTAAGGAAATTATGTATATATGTATCTAATATGATATGGAAACTTTTTTATATTTAACAAATTAGCAATTGACTGGGGCACTTTTGGTCTTCCATACTTTCGCAAAAACTATTGATTCATTAATGTTGCTTGAACAAAGGGCAAAAGGTTTTCCTTGTTGATTCTAAAACTGAGGTGAACTGTACACTGGAGCAAAGGCTTGGAGAAAAACTGACCTGCAGTCCAACATTTTTAACCTCATTTCAAACAAACAAAAAAAAAAAAAACAAAACAAAAACAACAACAACAAAAAAACCCCAACAAGTTTCTATGTACATAAAATTCCATTACTCCTTTTATACAGTGCTTACAGTATTTACATGATTCTAATGAAAGCAGAGGTGAGTATTACTTACCAGCTGTGACTATCTGGACTGACCAGGGGTATTTGGTCATCAAGGCCTGATAGGACCTCCATAGATTAGCCATCCTCCTTAAAAATAAAGGGAATGTTGATAAAAACAAAAACAGCCAAATCAGAAGCAGAGTGGCCCAAATTAAGTAAACCTGCAAATAAGTATCCTTATGTCCACAATTAGAACAAAAATTGTAACGACACTGTTTTGGATATACCGTTAAACTCATATTTAGTTATGCCAACAATGAAGCAACGATGCATTGAAAACATTACATCAATTTAAGATAAGCCTGTACGTTTTTCCTAAATTACATATATCAACTCAAATGGATCCCAAACTAGCATATCCATAGATTTTGTCAATGCCGAATTAAAGACTATACTCACATTAATACAACTAACCAACGATTTACTCTTTAACTAAAACTCAATTTCAGAATTTTCAAATGAAGTGTAGAAGCTCATTCTTTTTGAACGGAGTTTGGCCAAACAAGGATTCGGAAGTTTTAAAGTCTGCTCTTTAGTGGTTTTCAGTTAAAGAAAAACACCTTAAACATCGAAGTATATCTTCTCGAATAACATCTCAGTTTAACCGCTAAACTGAGATGTTTAGCGGTTTTGTCGCAATAAAGTGGATTAATTTACGGGGGAAAAGCACTGAATGCAAAATGTGTTACATGCCTGTTGGTGAGCCCGGCGATGCCTTCACGTGCTCACATCAGCTCGGATTTTTAAGCTTCATAAAAAAACCCTTTTCTGCTACTCACTAAATTTCTTTAAAAATACATATAAAGTATGGCAGTAACTTCAAAAATATTATATAGATTTTTTTTTAATGCGAAAGCCTTTGTTTATTTTTACAGATTACATATGATTGATATATAAAAAGGATTTATAATATACTGTTTGGAACCTATCAAAAAGTACCTGAATGTTCTCGGTACATTTACTGAGCATTTGATCAAATAAAGCCCCAATCACTCTAATTTCCTACGGTATTTAAAGGTATCATCAAAAGTACGCAAGTTCCGCTGTAAACAATTAAATACAGCCTGTGCTGCCCTCTGGTGGACAGCCGCGGTATACACCAAAACAAAAGTTTAACAACGACAAGTTTCTCATTTTTAAATATTTATTTATTCTCTTTAAGCAAAGAGACACTTACAGAAACAGAATCAATACCCATTATGACAACTGTTTCGGAAAAAAATGGCACAGAGTACATAAATTTATTATTTTGCCTCAGATGAATACGGGCAGCAGTGTTTTTCAGTAAAATTATAGTATGAGGTAATGAGCGTTCATACAAGTAACAGCTGAAAGTTATTTCAAGTCAGTTGTATTTGATTTTATATGCTTCGTATAAATGTATATTACTGTTTTTTATGAACATGGTGACATGAATAAAAAAAGTGACATGTAGCTCAGCATAACTGAGGAAATACTAGATTTTAAAACTGACAGTAGAAATGCTGAAAGAGCAAACTTTTAAATTGACTTGTATTGCATATTTCTGGAAAAAAAAAAAAAAAAAAAAAAAAAAAAGGATTAAAAAAAAAAAAAAAAATGAAATATGATGAAAAAAAATCACT